AGCTCTACGCCTACCTCTCCCATAATCACCTTCTGGCATCCTCCCAGCACGGCTTCCGCCCCCGGCACTCCACGGAAACCGCGTTGCTGTCTGTCACTGAACACATCCTGGCCGCCACTGATAGGGGGATTTGTCAATGCTATGCCTTCTCGATCTCAGTAAATGTTTCGACGTGATTGACCACGATCTTCTGATGCAAAAACTGATGTTACACGGCATTGAAATTTCCTGGTTCGCCGCCTATCTACATGGACACACTCAGAGCGTGTCTTTGAAAGATGTATCCGGACGTAGAGTGCTGTCTAGGCCTCTTTCTAATGCCATGGGTGTCTTCCAGGGCTCTGCGTTAGGGCCGCTTCTTTTCACCATTTTCTCTAACAACCTATCGCTATACGCGGGCGACGCAAAAGTGTTTCAGTATGCCGATGACACTCAAGTATTGGTTAGCGGTCCAGCTCGGGACCTCGAAGTTCTCATCTCGCGCATGGAGGACTCGCTCGCGTCTCTCAACGACTGGTTTTGCGCTAACGCCCTCAAAGTGAACGCAAGTAAAACACAGCTTATTGTATTTGGCACTCGTCAAAATCTTCGTAAATTACCAGACTTTAGAGTACCATTCCGCAACGCAGCGTTGCAACCGTGCGCACAAGTCGGGAACCTTGGCGTCACTTTTGACAGCACTATGTCATGGGACGCACACGTCTCTGAACTCTGCCGCCGGTGTACGGGACTGTTGATTGGTCTTTCACATGCGCGCCACTGTCTCCCAGATGGCATCATTCGAACGCTCGTGACGGCACTCGTTGTATCGCGTATCCAGTACTGCCTTTCAGTTTATGGTAATGGGTCCCAAAAAAATTTCGATCGACTCCAAAAAATTCTTAACTTCGCCGCTAGAGTTATTTTCGGCCGCCGTAAATTTGACCATGTCTCCGACCTGCGAACAAAACTCGGGTGGTTGTCCCCGCGCGGTATGTCCGATTTCCACACCCTTGTCATCGCACACAAGGTCATACAGCGCCGTGAACCTGAGCAACTAGCAGCCCTATTCGTCGCTAATAGCGCTATCCGCGAGAGACCATCCAGGCAAGATCACTTCTTCCATCTTCCCCGTCCACGGCTGGAAACGGGCAAGCGGCGGTTTGGCTATCGAGCTGCAGCTCTGCTGAACAGCCTGCCACCTCACCTGTCGCAGCTGCCTCCCGCCCGCTTCGCCCGCGCTGTTAAAGCCGCAATCGTGGACGATGAATCAGCACATCGTCGCTGACCAATAGGATAGGGGTGGGTAAAAGCGATGAGGCTGTCCTGAGAGTGTTTTGTCCTTGTTTTGACGTGAGTGAATGTGCAACTGTTTTGAATGATTAGATTAGCAACCGCGGATACGGATTCTGAGCAGTAATCGCCACGCACTTTGTATGTGGATCGCTCTTAAATGTAAATACAATACAAATAGTGTCCTCGAACTTATCTACGTTACTGGTTACACATTCCCTATACAGTACATGATCCTGAAACCAATGACCTTTGACCTTTGATCTGATTTCTGAGACCATGGCAGACCGAAATGATTTGCCGTTTATGTTAGCGCACACTACTCGTAAATTGCGTTTCCAGACTTCTATTGTGATTACATATAAACGTGCCAACATATCAACTGATGGTTGTCCCATGCATCATGATGGGTTTCAAGTTGACTTGTCAGTTGTCGGCCAGGTCAAGGTCATTGACGTTTGGTGACTTCGGGTGACTGTTCCAAATTGTACGATTTTAAGGATTTTTTTAGCTTATTTCGAATCCAGCATTCGTTGAGACATTTGAGAAGCACGTATAGTTGTGGTGCCAATGCAACTTGCTACGAAGCTGTCGCTGGTGGTTTAGGTACAGCTGCTATAAATAGGTGGTGCGGGTGGGACGCCTATAACTACTTGACCCAAACTTACCCAAACCAGCCTAGCTTAATCCTCGCCCCCTAGTTTTTTTCGCGATAGCTCCGAACACGCCAGCAACAGAGAGCTGAAACTAGGCATACCTGACCTTTAATTCAAGCCGGATCTTGTGACACCAACCAGATTTTCAGGTCAGGTCAGGTTACTGACCTATGACGTCAAAGTGGACGGTCCTCAGATGCCGCAACTTCGCAACGCCCTCAGTCCCAGAGGAGCTTTTACAGGGGATGAAACTTACAGAACGTGCATCTCCTATGTAGAAGTCTCACAACTTGTACCTCTAGGATTGTTCCTAAAGATCACATGAGGTCAGGTCGGTCACGTGACCTCAACACTATAAGTCAATTGAGAAAAATGAAAACTGCTATTCTGGCGCCGGGAGCAATCTCAAACTATTGCAAGCACACGGATCGTGATTTCATGCACTCCTTGCAAAAGTTAGATGCTTCAATTTTGCATTGTTGACGTTGCGTGATTATGACGTCACTAGGGTCATACGAGCTTTTCGTAAGTAACTCCCGATCAAACTGAGCTAGCGAGTCGGTCAAGCCACCAATGGACTGAGGAAGACCTGCCGAATCGAATAAAATGCAACATGACCTCTTTTGACCAATTTCACGACCTAGGGGTCTTTGACCTGACCTTGACCCGAGGTCAACACCTCAAGTTGACCTCATCCGAACAAAAAGTATACCATTCGACACGCCTGAGCAAGGCGAGCACGTTTATGCTAAAATCGCGCTCTGCAACTGTTTTTTTTTTAAGTTATTGATCAAAAACCGAACCCGTGTCTTGGGTCACATGACCCGACCTCAGAGGTCACCAGTTGACCTGAGACCTTAAAATCGGGTACTAGCTGCTGTGTCTCCTAACGGCACACACGCTCGTTTTTTCCGCGACGCTCTAAATCCAACGGGGGCGAAAAACGACGAGGCGGTCGTACCAGCCCTCCCCCCGGCCGGCGCGTATGTAGAAAACCAACAGGTCCTGCGGGGTTAACTCTCGCCCTTATTGGTGTTTTGCTAGCTGCAAACGCAAAAGGCGGGGCTAGGTTATTGGTTGACCTTCCAGGTCAGGCCAGTGACTCAAAAGTCGGGAAAATCGGGACCTATGACCTGTTAAAACTTTGGAGAGTTAGTTGATACGACGTTTTTTGGGACGCTGATCACGAATTTCATGTTAGCTTTGATCACCGATGATGTCTTGATGCTTTTAGGCCAGGTCGGGTCAGGTCAGGTCAGGTCAACCAGTAGGCGTCTTGCTAGCTGTCCATAATAGGTGTCAACCAACACTGACAGCTTCGTGACATTGTAGGAAGGCGCCAAAATTACTTCGTAAATGTTCAAATGGGTGCTAAATTCGAAATCAGCTAAAAAAACTAGCCTAAAAATTTATGAGCCCAGAAGAAGTGAACTAAGGTCATCAAAGGTCAATGACCTTGACCTGACATTCACGTGACCTCGACACCCACCATAATGCATGGGACCACCATCATTTCACATGTTTGAACGTTTACGATCACAAAGACTGGAAACGAGCGGATACTGGCCGTTTTTACGAAGGGCTTCCTGGCGAATGTCCATCTAATTTGAACAAATCTTCACCAAATGTGCACCTAATCTGCACAAAATGTGTACTATAGATGGCCGTCGTGAAATACTCCTGAGCTGAATGTTCAAATTTTGTTCCCCTTTTCTTTTTAAATGAGCTAGATTGAGCAAGATTTTCATTGGACAAGATTGTTGACGGCCCTCCTGTGAAACGAGACTCGATGAATTCTTAAACTCCCTAGTTATTTTGTAACAACCCTAGGTTCGTTGCATACTAACTAGGGAGGTTGCAACGACCCTAGTTTCGTTACAACGTCCCGGAATGAGCAGTTATTTTGTAACGTCCCTAGGGTCGTTGCAAACAAACTGATCGTTCAGGGAGGTTACAACCACCCTAGGGTCGTTGCAAACTAACTGAAATCGCATACTCCCTGTAACATGTATATTGTATAATATGACGTCTCAGGATCTCATGTGTGAGAGTAACTAAAAGTGTCTGACGTTGCAACATAATCAAGCAACATGCCCGAAATTTCACAGCGGCTTTGGCTCGTAGGCGTGACTCCAATATTCGTCCAGCCTGAAGAATCCGCGGCACACACACAAGAACCTCGCCTTCCAAATGAGAGCGCGAGCCATCTGCCTAAGCACCACAAAGAAGCGCAATATCTTCGGCAACATATTGGAGGCTATCAGCCGGAAGACGGTTACGAAGCAATTTCTACAGGAAAAGAACACAATAATAAATCAAGCCGCGGCAAATCCTCCAGTAAAGGGCGGAGCAAGATAGCCACCGCCCCACAAATTTCTCCAGATTGAACAATCCCCAGAGAGCAAAGGTTTCTCAGCAACAGAAACAAAGACAGGCGAAAAGCCAGAACGATAGTTGGTGATGGCGTTGGTGCTTAATTTAAGCATTTTCCGGAACAACAAATGGTCCTACTCTACGATGTAGAAACCTCCGCTTGGTACCAAGCAAAAAAGCGTGGCATGCATCCCATCCGTCCGGTTAATATAATTATGACTTTATAAGCTAGGAAACTGTCGCACCACACAGCCTCCCTATCGAACACCGAACAAAAGACAATATCCCCAGTAGCGCCCATTCCAAGACGATCTAATCATAGACTAGCAGGCACGGATAGACAGTCCAAACTGAAACACCATCTAGGAAATCCGCGGAAGGCAGCAATAACATAATTGTGCTGAGAAGCGATCCGGAAGGCTTCGTATCACCGACTTTTCAATGTTGTAAGTGATAGGGATTGGCGAAGTCGTCAGGCGGGATTTGAGATGGGAGCGTGGGCGGAAGATCGGCTCTGTTACTAAGAACTATTCCGTGGGATTAGGATATGACGTATTGATACTGATCCCGATGGGTCAGTAGTTACGTGAAGCACATCCATTACACGAAAGATCAGATATATTACAGAAATGAGGAAAGTCCCCGCTGAGATAATTATATCTCTGCCACTGCCCATTACAATAGGAATCAGAAGCCCACCTGTTTAACGACGTCTCTGTTCTCAATGTACTTGAAGAACCGATACAGAGCAGTCGACTTGAGCGCTGAAAATGACAAAAGACAGGGTTAATAACATATCATGAATAACACCTCCACAGTTTATAACACATCAGTTTCAGCCTATAGTCAATGCCAAATTATTCCGTTCAATAGTCAAACCATTTGCTGTCAGCTTAGATGAACCCATGCGGCACATCCCTATGCAGCGCTCCCACCACCGGCGTATCCTTACAGCCCGGACCCCCTCCCTCCGGTATCCGGGTACCCTCCCGCGGTGTATCCGGGCTGTATCCACCCGGTAAGCTCATCAATACGGCTGCGTATTGGCACAAACTAATGATCATTTCGCTGCAGCCCCTCACGGCTCACCAGGCGACCTCGAGGCAATCAGCAACCACGCCACCGTCGGCGTGACGCTAGAACCCTCGGGAAATCAATTAACACGAATTAATACTGGGATGCGATGACAGAAAAGAAACAGGCTCGTCCTAAGGCGTAAATTATAATTAGAAGCATGTTGACAAGGCTTCGAGAGGCTCCCGGCGCAATCAAAAACAAGATCAAGGTATGGAATTGATGTAGAAATAGGACACAACTCTATAAATTTTGTAATGAAACGGAGATGTCTCGCACAGGTGAGCTAAGTGCCAATCAGGGGAGTTATGCAAAACTTTTGAAGGCATTTTGTCCTAAATTTGGACCAGGTTCGCATGCACGCGCAAAGGTGTCCTAGGTCTTGGCGCATGGAAATAAATCACCTGCTGGGCGCGCAGCGACAGGTCATTTCCTGCGGTATCGGTCTACCCGTTGGAGAGTTATTGAAATCGAAACTATTCATCAGGCTGACCCAAAACGACACACAGGTGCCGCTGGAGTCCAAAGTACATAATACAGATGGGTAAAATCACTGGAAGTGATTTTGGTTCACCCAACAAAGAAGAAAAGCGATTGTAAACTGGATAGCCTGATGAGTGTTGAGTACATACCAATTTCTAAAGAGCCTTCCAGGCTATATCATCAGGTACCATAAAATATCTTTTTTTCGTTAGTAAAAACAAGTTGACCCGCCTCTCATACATATAAAGGGGTTATTCTAGTGATGAGAATAATATATCATCTCCTTTTGCTCGTATCCACAGGCAAACACTATCCAAAAGTCCACTTTCAATCTGCCGCGATTCATCGCGATAGCCGAGAAACATAAATCACCACGATTGAAAATCTCAGGGAAGGTATCTTCGATTTATGACCTCTTAAGCGATTGATTCAACATATTTATCAACGTCGAGCTTCATTATGGATGACATATTCTCTCCACGAGTGCGAACGTGGCACAATGTCCTCATATCGCTCAGAGGATGCTAGGACGAGAAATCGATATCAATGAACACCGGACAAAAGCCGACAAGGATGGCAAAAACGGATCCAAAACAAAATAAATTCATTGAAAGTGCCATTCCTCCTTCCCACTCCCTCTCTCTCTCTCTCTCCTCTCTCTCATCTCTCTCTCTCTCTCTCTCTCTCATCTCTCTCCTCTCTCTCTCTCTCTCTCTCTCTCATCTCTCTCTCTCTCCTCTCTCTCTCTCTCTCTCTCTCTCTCTCCCTACTCACTCTGACTAGCCTCCTCTCCCATCTGCGGCGGGTAGTCCTCGTCCCAGTCGACGACATCGTCATCCAGCAGCACCACCAGATGACACTCTCGGTCTCCAGAGGTGGCCGCGCGCACCATCAGCGGCAGCAGCAGGCTCTCCAGGAACTCCTCGAACTGGTGACGCGCTCCGTCGTTGCTGAGTTCGTGTAGTAAACCGCCTATGAGACACAGCAACGGAGGGATCGGTAAGTGGTAATGAACGTACGACAAAGTGCATTGGAGAGATGAGGCAGGAGTTAAATAGGGGTTAACAGGGGCTAACATAGCACCGTCCTTGCGAGGATTGTAGCAGTGACTGACTACACCCTCTAACGTGCTAACCCTATAGGCGCATATCTGAATATGCATGAAGTAACGCGGTGAATAAAGAGAGGAAACGCGCAAAATGTGCGTGGAAGCTTAGCTGAACAACCACTAGGGCATGATTAATATGTGCGCTGGCGAGTGTAAGATTAGTTGGGTAAGGGTGCGATGGCTGGTAGAGAAGAGACAGCGGAAGGAAGTGCGAAGAACGGGGGCGGAACGGGAATAAAACAACAGGAAACCAGACAAAGGGTAGCCACCGGTGGGTGGATGGCTGGAGGGAAGGAGCCTGGAGCGTAAACACAAAAGGGGAGAGAAAGAGGGAGGGGAGAAGAGAGAGAGGGGAGAGAGAGAGGGAGAGAGAGGAGAAAGAGAGCGGGGGTGAGAGGGAGAGAGAGAAGAGAGAAGAGAGA